TAAGCAAAATAGTCAGGGTAAGAACACTAGTCAGCCTGGGAGGAAGAGGAGCAAATCTAGGAAGAGAGTGTGTTACAATTGTGGTAACACTGGCCATTTCATTAAGGATTGCCCCCACCCTAAGAAGACCGAGCATGCTAGTGTAGCTGTTGATAAATGTGACCTTGGTGATATTTTGATGGTTTGTGACCATGTTAATTCTGTGAGAAATTCCCTGTCTGAGTATGAATGGTTGATTGACTCTGGTTGTACCTATCACATGTCCCCCTTTAGAGATTTGTTTTCTACTTATGAATTATGTGATAGTGGCTACGTTTCCTTAGCTGATAATAAGAGATGCAATGTGCTTGGTGTTGGTGATATATGTCTGAAGTTTTCTTGTGGCTCTGTGTTTACCATTAAGAATGTGAGGCATGTCCCTGATTTGTGTCATAACTTGTTATCTGTTGCTGCTTTGGAGAGTAGTGGGTTGCAGGGAAAATGGGGGAATGGTTGTATGAAAATCCTGAAAAATTCGCTTGTTTTGTTTAAAGCTGAGAAGGTGAATAACCTTTATGTGTGTCATGCTAAACCTTTTGCTGAGTCTGTGAATGTTGTATGTTCTGATAAGACCTCTTTGTGGCATAATAGGCTAGGACATATGAGCAATAAGGGTTTAGATGTCATGCGTAGGGCCGGTTATTTTGGTAAGGACTCTGTGACTTCTATGCCTTTCTGTGAATCATGTGTGTTAGGCAAGCAGCATAAAGTCAGTTTCCCTCCTTCCTCTTACCCTAATCTGTCTAAGTGTTCGTCTGTGCTTGAATATGTTCATGCTGATGTTTGGGGTCCTGCTAGTGTTCCTACCCACGGGGGTAGGAAATATTTCCTTTCTATCATTGATGATTTCTCTAGGAAGGTGTGGGTTTGCCTTTTAGAACACAAGTCTGATGTGTTTGTGAGGTTTAGGGAGTGGAAAACCCTAGTTGAAAACCAAACTGACAGGAAGGTTAAAACCCTTAGGACTGATAACGGGTTAGAGTTCTGTAATAAGGAGATGGATAAGCTGTGTGTGGATTGTGGGATAAAAAGGCACAAAACTGTGCCTTATACTCCCCAACAGAATGGGATAGCAGAAAGAATGAATAGGTCTCTGTTGGATAAGGTTAGAAGCATGTCAGCTACCTCTGGTTTGTCTAAGAAATTCTGGGGTGAAGCAGTCACTACTGCTGCCTATTTGGTTAATAGGTCCCCGTCTGTCCCTCTTGGTGGTAAGTGTCCTGAAGCCGTCTTTACCGGTAAGCCTCTTGATCTGTCTAACCTTCGGGTGTTTGGTTGTGCAGCGTATGCACACCAACAGGGTGACAAGTTGGATCCTAGGTCTAAGAAATGTGTCTTCCTAGGTTATCCAGAGGGGGTAAAGGGTTACAGGTTATGAGATAGAAACCAGGTAGGCTTTAAAGTGGTCCTTAGCAGAAATGTGGTGTTTAATGAAACTGATTTTCCTTGCTTGACCAAGTCTGTTTCTGATCCTGAGTCTAGGTCTGATAGTACTCCTAGTGAGGTGGAGTCTGTCCCTGTTGCTGCTAGTCCTTTGTCTGTTGATCCTGTTATTACTGATGATATTGTTATGCATGATTCTGATTCCTCTGAGCATGATAGTCCCACCACCTCGAGTGAGGTGGAGCATTTGCATGATACTGAGCATGATTTGCATGATATGGGTGCTGAATCTGATTTTCATGATAACAATAATTTGCATGAGTTGCATGTGGAGCCTAGTAGTGATAATTTGCATGATTATCAACTTGCTAGAGATAGGAGTAGAAGGACTATCAAGAGAACTGCTGATAGTATGCCTGATTATGCTTTCATTGTGCATGATACTTCTATGTTTGCATTTTCTGTGTTTGAATCCCTAGAGCTGAATGAACCCAAGACCTACCGTGAAGCCTTAGGTTCCAAAGAGTCTCAGAAATGGATTAGTGCCATGAAAAGTGAGATGGACTCTTTGAGAGTGAACCAGACTTGGACCCTTGTACCTAGACCCCCCAACTGTTCGGTAGTTGAGTGTAAGTGGTTGTTTAAGGTTAAGGAAGAACCTAGTGATGTTAGGTTTAAGGCTAGGTTGGTTGCGAAGGGGTTTACTCAAAAAGAGGGGGTAGATTATGCAGAAATCTTTGCTCCTGTTGTTAAATTCACCACTATTCGCATGATGCTTGCTTTAGTTGCTCACCATGACTGGGAAATGAAACAGATGGATGTAACTACTGCATTTTTGCATGGTGAATTGGATAAAACAATTTATATGACCCAGCCTGAGGGCTTTGTGGATCCCAAGAGAAGTGGGCATGTCTGTTTGATTAGGAAGACTTTGTATGGCCTGAAGCAATCCCCTAGGCAGTGGAACATCAAATTTGATAAATGCATGATATCTTTGAAGTTCCAAAAATCTGTTTGTGATCATTGCCTGTATTTCAAAAATACTTCTTCTGTGCCTGTATTTTTGTTACTCTATGTGGATGACATGCTGATAATTAGTCCTTCTCTGAATGCTATTAAAGATGTGCAAAAATGTCTTTGTGCGAATTTTGCCATGAAAGACCTAGGTGATGCCAAGAGGATCCTAGGCATAAACATTGTTAGGGATAGGAGTAAGCGTACTCTTACTTTGAATCAGATTTCTTACATAGAAAAAGTTTTGAGTAAATTTAATATGTTATCTGCTTCTCCTGTTAATGTCCCTATGGCATCTCACTTTGTGTTAAGTAAGGACCAGTCTCCCAAGACTGCTCCTAAAATTGAGAAAATGAAATCTGTGCCTTATTCCAGCGCAATAGGGTCGGTGATGTATCTTATGGTTAGCACTAGACCTGATATTGCATATGCGGTTAGTTGCTTGAGTAGATATATGTCCAACCCTGGTTTGCCCCATTGGAATGCTCTTAAGTGGTTGCTTAGATATCTGATTTCTACTGTGAAGCATGGATTAATTTTCTCTAAATGTGCTAGTGGTATTGAATTGATTGGTTATGTTGATTCTAACTATGCAAATGATAGAGATAACAGGAAGTCGACCACTTCTTATGTTTTTACTTTGTGTGGCTCTTGCATTAGTTGGAAGTCTCAACTACAGCCTATTGTGACCCTTTCTACCACTGAGTCCGAGTATGTTGCAGCCACAGAAGCGTTTAAGGAAGCCATCTGGCTCAAACGCCTTGTCTCCGAAATTGGGTTTCTCAAAAAGGGAGTTACCATTTTCTCGGATAGCCAATCGGCTATCCAACTTTGCAAAAATCCTGTATTTCATGATAGAACTAAGCATATTGATGTTAGGTTCCATTTCATACGTGATATTGTTGATGCAGGTGGAGTCAAGCTGTGCAAGATCCCGTCGGAGTTTAACCCCGCGGATATGGGTACCAAGTGTCTTTCTGCTGAGAAGCACTTGTCCTGTAAACGCGTGTTAAATTTTGACTGTGGATAACTGTGGGTTGCCTAATAAAGTGTTTGCCCGTTGTGTCTTTTGATATTCCGGGTGACCCGGTGATGATGAGTCTCCTCACAACCTGTTTTGCTACTCTACACCACTTAGGACCAATAAGGTGGAGAATGTTGGAGGTATTGGTCCTACCAAGGCCTCCCTTCCACTTTATTATTTAGGCTTGCACCCCATGTTTACTCCCACTTTGATTCCCAGAGTTGAAATCACTTATTATGGCCTGTTTGACTTATCTGGAGTATGCCCCATTGTTTTTTGTCCGCTGCTGCCTTGCTTATACCCGTGAGCCTTTGTTGTCTTGGCCACACCCGTGAGTGTCCTGTTGTTTACCCGTGACTTGTCAAATTGGCAGCCTGCCTAGTATAAAGTCTGCTCCTTTCCTTCTTTGTGAGATAAGCCTGCAAGATATCAGCAGAGTCTTCCTTCTTCCTTTCTTTGTGTGAGAGTTCCTTTGTGGAGTGAAGAAGAGTGAGTAAACATGGGAGATGTTGTGGCCTAGCCCTAGAGTGGTGTGTGAGTTTAGTTTAGAAGGTTGGAGACCTGAGCCGGAGACGGAAACGGTCCTTACAGAATCAAATACTCCATCGGTCCCAATAACAATGAGATAAGAGAGAGTGACACGTAAATGAATAAAAAGTGGTTTATGTGATATTGATATTGAATTCATACGTTTTGGGCTTCTCTTTGATAGTATGGATTATTTTTTTTATTTTGCCTTACTAATTAAAAGTGAAAATATAGTGAGGCAGGTGTGCAGGACTATCGCAAAAAAAATGTGGCAGGAACGATGTACACCTAACAATACCAAACATATTTTATGCAAAACGTATGTCAACAGTTATTGTACATTTTATTTTATATCTTTGCAAAACTTTAGTAAGTTGTATGCTTCACTTTCGAACATAATGTACAACGAATTAAAGTATATGAAGAATGACATTTCGACATGACCCAAAAGATAAATTGAAAGAATATAAATTGAACTTTAATCACAAGTTTGCAGATTAAGTGAGTTCTGATCCAGATACTTGCGCAGACCCAATGCAATTCTGCATAATAACCTCTCATTATACTTGTTTGAATTTGAATCCGAGACTTACCCACACGATACTTCATATCTACCAGTTGAGTTACGCTCACCGACACGAATTAGAGTATATGTATTTTGAAAATTTCACCCGTGTACACACCCAAATTGCATATGTGATAACATGAATTGATTTTTGAGTCAGATTATATGTGATACCGACAAAATTTGAAAACAATTATCGATATTATAAACAAGTTTTCGTCAGTACCGCATGTAAGAGGGCACTTCATATCACGAGCTTCTGACCGGAACCAGCGTGTGGATTCATTGTATGGGATAGTTTTCGATGAATTTTTTGATGAATTTTTTTTTAAATGTTCTTGGTAACGTTTAGATTATGTCCACAATACATCTTAAAATTCAATCGTAAGACATTTGAACACAATTAAAGGTGGTGCGATTATTGCGATAGGGAGTAAAAAAAAGTACCCGATTAGTATCATAATGACTGTCATCATAATCGTCCTCGGAAGAGAAGTAATCTGCCAGCTGTGCAGCACTCAGCGACTCGAAACGCTGCGCAGAGAAAATGGCGGCCGACTTGGCCGGCGCCATTTCCGGCTGCTGATATCCGTGGCTAGTGCCGGCGCCGGTGGAATACTCGGAAAAGTGAGCACGCCGGCCGGGAGGACATCCAAGCTTCGTAGTGCTGCTTAGTAGAGATGGAAGAGCAACGATGATGCTTCTTTTTGATCTTGAACACCAATTTGCCATTTCAAAAGGCACTTAGATTTTATTTTATTTTTAGTGTGCCCGCAGTACGTATATTTTCCATTTCATGGTTTGATTTATAGACTAGCTAGGTAGTCGTTAACTGTCATATAATCATATACTCCGTATATGCTCATATATATATATATATATATATAGACTTTGGTTCAAATGAGAACAACTCTTAACGTGAGAAATGAGAACCAATCCTAACCGTTTATATCAACTCTTTGCTTTCTTAGATCTAAATTCAACGTATGGGCATTTTCGTAATCAATTGAAATTAGTTTATTATGGTAACTACTTTTTTCCCACTTCCCATTAATGATTTCCGTTATTTTTGGGAACAACATTATGTGATCTTATATCTTATAATATAATATAATATAATAATATTGCACTAACGATTGAAACATACGGAGATTTGTAAATGCACATTCATGGTACCTATTACAATATCACTATTGAGTTATATTTGAGCATTATTTTCCTTCTGAAAATTAGTTATTTTTTTCCCTCTTAAAAATAGTTTTTTAACATTAATTTCACATGATGTGTTATTATATGTTAACGACTAGATACACAATTTTGCTTTCTTTTTTTGGCAATATTTGAATTATTACTATTTCTTCCAATTTTTTTTATTTGCACAACAATATCTCAGTAACACCTAAATTCATCACATTTTTCCCTGTGTGCTATATAGAAACTATTAGTTAGATTTTGGTTCATGTGCATTAGATATTAGTTGTTGTGTGCTACATACGAGTTTTTGTGTATTAAATATTTTGTTTGTTAATATTCTTGTTGATATTGATTCATGTGCGTTAGATATTGCATGTTATGCGTTACATATTGGTTCTTGAGCGTTTATGCATATTGCGCATTAGCTATTATATTGATTCTTGTGTGTAATTTACTAATTTAAGTTGTATGACATCTCTATGTGTTATATATTAATTTTCTTAATTGATGTGCGTTAGATACTTATTTTTGTGCTCAAGATACACGTTATGGCTTTTTATATACGAACTATGTGTAAGATTCTTCTTCATGTGCATTGGACATTAGTGGTTGTGTGCTCTAACGTATATACATATTGTGCTTTAGATACTAGTTGATGTGTATCACGGAGTATATAATAGTTTGAACTTTAAATTATATGAAACCGTTATGAGATGAAATATTAGTTCTTAACTGTTGTGCGTTACGTACTGATTTTTGTGATTGAGATACCTGTTCTGGTGCTTAATACACAAACTATTTGTGAGATATTCCTTTTCATGTGCATTAGATATTGGTTTTTGTGCATTGGATACAAGTTCTTGTGTGCCATTGTTGGAGATGCTTCTTGTAGTTTATTGTATACATATAATACTTATTTTTTAAAATAAAAATTATATATGCTATATTGGTGTCATATGAAAGATAAAAAAATATTATTTAATTTGATATATTTTTTGATAAAATTGGATTATAATTTAAATAGTTAAATGAATTTTAAGCTAAATAACATTTTATATGATTTGAGATTTAATTTTTACCTACTTTTTTGGAAAGTTGCAACCTACAACCGTTACCATGTTAAATGAATTTATAGAATTACTCTAATGACCTTAATTAGTTACACGCCTCTCTTTCTATTTGTATGAGGGGGATTATTATGTGAGGATGCCCATCTTTATATTGTGAGCCAGTTACTTAATGGCCGTTCATTTAGTGAGATGGTGGGTTAGGATATGTTCTCATTTCTCACAATAAGGGATGTTCTCATTAGAACCACTCCCTATATATATATATATATATATATATATTGAAGATTCTTATTGGACACAAAATTTGTACTTGGGTATATTTTTTGTAGACAATCAGGTAAAATTTGTGGTTCCATTCTAAAAGATCAATCTGATAGGAGGAGTAACACAGATCTTAATATAGCATTTAATTCTTTTAGAGATATCCGGTGTGGGACTTTAACACAATCTGTGTACACAAATAATTGTACACAATTTCGGTTTTTTTAAAACAAACTACTTGTGTAACAAGCAACTAAGCGTGTGCGTACAAAAAAAGTACAAAATTTTGTGTATAAACATAATTTTCCTATATACTTACATAACAAATTGCTCCTCCCCGCCTCATACTCTCATACTGGTTCTCTTGTTTTAGTTCAAGTTAAAATTATGGCTGAGATTTTGAATAGAATAAAATGAATGAAACGATATGGACCATATATTATTTGTTGCTAAAAAGAAACAAAAAGACCATTTTAGAACAACCTGAAAAGGAAAATAATAAAATCAATGAAGGAAGTATTATTTTTTAGTAACAAAATAGTACTCAGCTCCTAGTAGTTAATTGGGTCACGTACAATGGCGTTTCCACGAGTTAGACAAAAATATTGGAACATGTTATCCACGCCCTTGCATAGTTGCAGAGTAGAGATTTTTCCTTTTTTCTAAATTGTGAAGTAAGAGTACTATGCATTTACTAGTATAATTTTATATTAAATCACCCTCAACTTATTAACACTGACACTCGAAGTGCATCTTTTATCTCTTTTTCTGATGATCTTGGAATAAGCAGGGATACTCCTATTTATTGGGAAATGGTGGGAGACATGTGCATGTTGCCCATATAGTAGTCCATGCCTCTAGTCTTTTAATGGGTGGAGGATGGAACACAAGTGGGTGATGGTGAGTATGGGAGCAGCAGAAATCCCACAAAGAAGAAGGCGGGAAATTAAAAAAAAACGAATTAAAACATGAAATTCCTTGAAATATGAATGGAAACAATCACTTATTCGGTCAGCCATATAATCTTGTTCCGAACAGAGACACATGCACAGAGCATTGAGCGCTAAAAACATCAAAATATGTCGAATTGATCAAATGGTGGGATGTATGCACAGAGATATCTTTTACTCGAATAAAACACTAGGGGATCTTCATAGAACATTAAATGCCTGCAGACGTACTGAGGTGCACTTAATTAGAGAAAAATTTGATCACAAAAATCTCACCTAAACGTTCCATCTTCTTTCACTAATTTCGTTGATAACATGTGTTTTATTGCTTTTTCTTCGTTGATAGCATGTGTTTTATTGCTTTTATTTTGAAAAACATTTTAAAAAAACAATTTCTTCCTCTGGAAATTTACCTTGGAGTAAAACATCATTCTTTTCTCAGAATAGGAGCACTTGATGTATACATCCTTAAATGAGTTTTTATTTGTGATTGGACCAAAATACCCCTCACAATCTTTACCACTGATGCACCAGGACTGTCTAAACCCGCCTGCCGCCGGACCTCGGCCACCGCTGGAAAGTTCCAGACTTTTTTTGTGGTAGCCTGCCAGATTTATGCTGCCTCCGAAGTTAAGTGCTGCCGGAATCCGTTGCCACCGGACTTCCCCCGCTACCAATGGGCTGCTTTGGCTGTGCAAGAGAACCAGGGGACAATTATTTGAGTTAAATAATTGTCGGGGTTCGCCGCCGCGGCCAGAATCCGCCGCTGATCACTGCCACAGTGCTGCCGCCACCACGGAGTGCCCCGTCACCGACGGACTGCCTTGGTTGTGCAAGGAAACTAGGTGGACAATTATTTAGATCAATTAATTAATTAAATAGAATTAGGGTTAAAATGGTAAGGACGACGCAATGTTAGTCCTATTTAAGGAAAATCATACATTGATGTTATTTTGGAAAAATACGTGATTTTTGGTCCTATGTTGGACAATGTTCTCTTCTTCCTTTAGCAGTCTTCTAAAAATAACCTCATGTGCTCTATATCATTTTTTGTTTTTCTCCTTTTTGGGAGTTTTTTCTCTTTATGTTTATCACCTCAACACTTTTTGTCTTACTTTTATCTATTTTTTATGTAGTAATTGCCCCTTATATGACTAAAAGAGGGGAGAAATTCTTAAATAGGACCATGTATGTTTCCCCCCAAATAGGACTATTTTACTCCATTTTTTAAAACACACGTATATTTCATTCCATTATTACCCCCTTCTCCATTTTATGCACATCTCCTCCCGCGCACAACCTCTTCTCCCCTTCTCTCCCGCGCAGATCCTTCTCCTTTTTCCTTGCGCATCATCAATCGACTTCACCCAGGCCATCGCCGCCGCCGTCAACTTCGCCCTGCGCACCAGATCTACCGAGTTCTCTCCCATGCCGTTGATTTCGCTGCTGTTAAGGTTCTTCTTCCTCTTCCTCTTCTCCTCCTCTTCTCTTCCTCTTCTGCTTCCGCTTCTTCTTCCTCTGCTTCAATTTTCCTCCGTTTTTTTGGATTTTGAATTGAATTTTGCAATTTTCGGACTTCAGTTTTGATTTTTTGGTTTCTAGTTTCTGAGTTTTGAAACAAATTCTGTTTTTCAACATTATGGATGATTGCTTCGGATTTGGCCAAGTTTATGGCAGAAATGTGTACATAAACATCATATTATGGCAGAAATGCTTTTGTATAAATTGGTTTTTCTGATTTTTGTCAATAACTTCGTTTTTCTATTTCCAATTAGGCTAAGAAAATTATTCCATTAAAAAATTTAGTTGTTTGAATATTTGGTTATGTATTTCATGTTTTTCACTTTTTGCCAAATTTATGGCAGTTTTGTATTAACATTCCAACATGAATCTGCCAACTCTTTGGCAGATCTGAAACTCTTGTGATATGGCCGATGTAAATATACTCTCCAACTCTAAATCTGCCAACATAATGGCATATTTATTCCGCATGAGTTGTTACAATGGTTGTGGTGCTCAGGCCTCAGGGGATGGCGGCGGCGGTGGATGGCGACACCGGTCAGATGGCGATGGCATGGATGGTGACGCCGGTGTGGGAAGTGGCGGCGGCAAGGGGCGGCGATGGGTGGCAATGATGTGGCGGCAAGGATGCGGCAGCAGACGGCGAGGGCGGCAAGAGGCGGCGCATTCGCCGGCGAGGGCGGCGACAGGCAGCGCCGTCTCCGGAGAGGGTGGAGGCAGGATGTGCCGGCAGCTGGTTTGGCTCTTTCTTCAGGAGAGTTACTTCTAGGGCTTCAGAAATTTTACATTTTAAATTTTAAAATTTAAAATATTAAAAGAGGGGTATTTTTGTCCAACTATTCTGAAAGTGGTCCTATGAAACTTGTGTTTCCTTTATAGTCTTAAAAGAGCAATTAACTTTTCTATTAGTCCTATTTGAGGCATTAACTCTTTTTTATGCAAGAAAAGTTTTTATTTTATAGCATTTCCCCTCATAGCCCCCAATTTTTCCCTTTTCTTCACAGCCCCCGTTTTTACTCTATTCTTCTTTTCATGTACTGTTGTTCAGTTAAATTCTCTTTTTATAAATTGTTTTTTCGTCCATGTCCATTACATAGTACGTAATACAACGTACTACCTCCGTAACATTGGGTTGCTCCCATTTGAAAAGTAGGTAGATTAAGAATAGTGAAAGGAGATATGTATTATTGAGGGTATGATGAGAAGATAGTGAAGTAATATGATGGAATGAAGGATAAATCCAAAAAAAAGTAGGTGTAATAGTGTATTATTTTTAAACTTATTGAGGGTACGATGGGAAGATTTAGAAATGGGAAGATATTAATGTTACGTCCAAAAAAGGAAAGTGGGAAGATATTTACGTTACCGAGGTAGTATTATTTTTTTTTTCTTTTTTTTTTCTTTTTTTTGCACAAATAAGAAAATTTTATTAAAAAGAAATTTAAAGGAAAGTACAAGTAACAAAGATAAAAGAGAAAAACAAAGGGAAGGGAATTCAAGAAAAAGTAAAAAACTAAGTGAAGAAGACCAACCCTAATACATCAAAATACCCTCCCTAACAGCTCACTATTCTCGTTCTAGACGAGATTGAGATCTTGTCCTCATGATATGTGATCGCTGGTGTTTTTTCCTGTATATTTTGATCTGGGTATTCAAGTTCTGCGTTGGCATGCAATTATCCCTCGTGACTAATCTAGCTTTGTTTTTATTTCATTTTTCATTTCTATTTATCTTCCTTTTCTTTTCTTTTCTTTTTTCCCTTTCCCTCAAATTCGAGGTCATTGTTTTCCTTTCTCACTTGTTATATCTTTCTTCTTTTTCATTCTCTTTTCGGCTAATCCCCTCACAACTAGGAACGGATCCGGGCCGATTCGATCCCATTTCTGGTCCAGAGTCGGTTTGTCCTTGTAGAAAATTATCAGAGCCCGGGACCGGCCCGTCGAAATCCGGTTCTAGCCCCCCCCCCTCAAATCATTTATTAATAATTGTGTTGAAGTGTAAAAAAATTATGTAGTATTTGAGTGCATAGCATTTGAATAATTAACACGTTTATAAATTATTGTTCGATGTATACAGTCTCAAATATAGAAATTACTCCAAATAAGACTAAAACTATGACGAAAATTCAAAATAGGACTTGCTATGATTTTATTCCAAAGTAGACCATATTAGTCCTATTGGAAACATATCTATTTCTTCATTCCATTCTTACTCCTCCTTTAAATATGAGTAAAGGATAGTCACAGGTCATAATTAAATGTTTAATTCATAAGAAATTCGAAATAATTTCGAAAAATCTTAGAAAAATAATAATAAAATGAATAAATATTTATAAAAAATTGATTTTTTTTAAATTAATAAAAAATAGTAAAACTCCATAAAAATTAAAAAAAAAATTAATTTTTTTTTATTTTTTTTTAATTTTTTAAATTTAATTTTTTAAATTATTATTATTTAAATATTTTTATTATTTTTTAGTATTTTTACGAATTTTATTACTCCCTCTGTTCTTTAATATTAGTCGTCTTAGACTTTGGCACGAGTTTTAAGAGGAAAATAATAGGGGTAGTGTAAAAGGTGTAATGAGTAGTGGGTAAATGAAAAAGTAGGAAAAAGAAAAGGGTAATGGTAATAAAAGTGGGGGAATAAAGGTATATATTGATTGTAAAAACTTTCCTTGAATGGAAAGGAGGACAAATAAAAAAAACAACCCAAAATGGAATGGAGGACTAATAAAGAACGGAGGGAGTATTTTATATTACCTCCGTCCCGCTAAGATTGTCCCAATTTACCTTTTCGGTTCGTCCCACTAAGATTGTCCCATACCAAATTTGGTAAGTTTGTGTAACTCTAAATCATTCTTACTTTATTCTTATTTTATCAATTCAATATCAACCACATACACCACTTTTTATTAATTTGCGCATCACTCCCTCTTGTCCCATTGTTAGTGGGACGGAGGGAGTATTATTTTATTATGAATTAAAACATTTCAATAACTGTAAGGGTATATTTGTCCATGACACACATAATTAGTCCTATGAAAACATAGTTTATTTTTTTGTCATATTTATGCAAAGTGACTGACTTTTAGTCATATTTTGATAATCAACTCTTTAAAATATTGAAGGAGTACATTACATGCTAGTCCATGCTGCCTAGAAACTAAAAAGTATTAAAGCAGTACATTTTGGGGGTGTTTGGAACTGATTATGTTTCTGCTTCTTTTTTAAAGTAGAAGCAGAATCAGAATCAGTTTTCAGAAGTCGGTCCTCCCAATTTCTAAAAAATTGATTCTAGGAGTGAATTAGAGCATCAGAATCACTTCTGCACTTTCGTCTAAACACTCCAACTTCTGCATCTTGAAGGAACACAAACAGTTTTGAGAATCATACTTCCTCCGTTCTTAAATAAATGCAACGGTCAACATTTCACACTTGCTGAGACACAACGTAACTTTGATCATTAATACAAATGATTTTGTATTAGTAAAAAAATTAAAAAAATTAGATTATGAAAATTTACAATGAGACAAGTTTAACAATATTTTTTTATAAAATAATATTATTACATTAATAAATAAAACGTAGTCAAAGTAGAACATGTGAATAGTGTAAAAGTCAAAGTGTTGCATTTATTTAAGAATGAAGTATTACATGAAACACCCCTAAACTTCACCTTTATATTACATGAAATCATATTACACCATATTTTATCATACTAGAAACACTGAGCATTGAGAGCTAAAAAACATCATGACATGTCGAGTTGATCAAATTATGGGATTTATGAATTTATCTATATCGGGAGCGATGCAGAGTGAGCATCATGCTTTCACAATTATATGAGATGTAAATTGTGTGAATCAAAATGTAACTTCAAATAATCAAAATGTAAATGACGTCCATTCAAATGTAACTCATTTAAATGTAAACTGCTTTAACTCAAATGCAACTTGGAAACAAGTTAAATGTAACTTGTGAAATGTAACTTTAGCTTATTCAAATGTAACTTGGAAACAAGTAGATGTTACATGTAATTTGTGAAATCAACATCCAGCAGAATGGAAAAAACTCAGATTAATCTTAATTTGAATAATACGCAGCCCTATCGATGCTAAATCAAATCAAAAGAATTTGCTTTCAATTTTAAAGGGTTATGCATAAATCTTCCTGGAACAACATATTCATTCATCTTCTCCCTTCCTTGAGAGGTTGAAATCAAAATTCTTTCATTAACAAAGAAAGAAGAAAGGAGAAGGAGGGAGTGGAGGAAGAGAAGGAGAAGAAAAGAAGAAGAAAGATTACCTCCTGCTCGTCGATCCTCTAGCACCTGCGATCGATCGATGCTCTTGTACTAATCAACAAAGTGACACCGTTTGGGATCGGACACACCGTGAGCACGGTGGACCAATCCCACACTATAATTTCTGATTCCTACAAGAGTCATGCATGTGCACATTAGTTCAGATTACTCATTCAAGATTCTGTTTTTAATGTCTTTCCTAATCTTAATCGTGTGAAACGATTATGTCTTAATATTACCTTATAAATATGTATACCTCTAATAAAGATCATAGATAACATATTTGTTTTCCATAGAATGAGTTGTGGTTCTATTTACCGGACATAAGAGCCACTACTTGGACTAGCGACGGCTTTCCTTAACCGTGATTAATTCCAATAGTATTTTGGAAATTATTTTTAAATAAATAATATTTTGGGTATTATTTATTTAATCAACATTAAAAAAGTTAATTTAAAGAATTGAATTAAAAAAAGTATACACATACAAAAATGTTTGGAAAATTGTTCTCAGGTATTTTTCCGGAAATTTGTTAATTTGATTGATTGAAGGAGAGGTTTGAGGTTAGCCGAGGAGTAACCTGAAGACAGCTCAGAAGCAATAGTTTGATTCGCCGGCAATGGAGTTCCCGGAGCCGCCGGAGTGCCCCGTATGTCTACAACCGTACGAATCCACGTCAACGATCCCGCGTGTACTAGCGTGCGGCCACTCTGCTTGCGAGGCCTGTATAGGGCGTCTCCCGAACACCTTCCCTGACACCATCAGATGTCCAGCCTGCACTCAGCTTGTGAAGTTACCCAAACCCCTCTCATCTCTACCGAAGAACATCGACCTCCTCCGCTTCTCCTCCCTCCTCCTGAACGAAGACCCTCCGCTACAACCCAAAACCGCAAAATCACTGCAAGAACCCAAAAGTGATTCGTCAATTTTCAGCGCAGCTGTGTGGCCTTGTGAATTCTACTTATACTGGTCATCCTGGATTCTCCCAGAAAACAGTGTGTCCACTGAACCACGAAATTCCGGGTCTAACTTCCCTGATGATTTTTGTTATTTGTTGCATGGGTGTTTGACGAAATGTCTGAGGAATCATCACGATGGTATGAGCAGTGAGAATCCTGCAGAGAAAGAGGAAGTATGTCTTCTTAAGCTTGGGGTCTCCATTCACAAAGGTGAGAGCTTTTATAAGTTCAAATATAGTTATGAAGTGAAAGTTCTGAGAGCATTATATGAAATGGCCTATAGGGAAAGAAACGAATTAGACTTGATTCTTCATGCAAACTCCAGGCATCACGGAGTGTGTAAAGTTTATGGCTTTTGGTATTGTGAAGATGACAATTCTGTGTATTTAGTTTGCCAGAAGTTTGAGACGAATGTTAGTATGTTCACAGAGTTGATTTCTGATAAAAATGGTTGCATTAAAAGTTGGGCAATGGTTGGGCTAGACATTTGTGAAGCTGTGAATAATTTGCATTTGCAAGGAGTAAGCATTGGCTGTTTCGGAGCATCTTGTTTTGGTATGGATGAGTTTGGCCACACTCATGTTGATATATGTGAGACTTTGGTAACTATAAGGAGACTTAGAAAGATGATTATGTGTTATGAAAATCTTGCTGTAGGATTGGAAAATGAAAATTTGACAGAATGTTCTTTTGTTAGTCCAGAGGCTATGTTTGGGTTATTGAAAACTGAAGGAGTTCAAATTGATTATGCGGTGGATGTTTGGTCTTTAGCTTCACTGTTGCTTTGGATTCTTATAGGGGAACCTTTTGCTCAAGAGATGAGGGTTTATTTGCGGTATATAATTGAATGTGATGAAATGCATTGTGATTTTTTTGGATGGTATACAGAGTGGATGGAGAGGATTGTTTGTTTATTTGAATGTCAATTGAAACCTGAATTTATACCTTTATCGGATATTTTCTGTAAGTGTTTGGATTTCAATCCTGAAAACCGCTCACCCGTGATTGAACTATGGAAAAGCTTGAGAGAAGTGATGGTCAAACCAGATATTGATGTCTTAACTAACTTAAAACAGGTAAAGAACCAGCATAGTATTCCTCTTTGCCTGCTTTTCGGAGAGCTCTGTCTATCAAAATGCCTATCAATCTGCAGGGCCAACAAACAATCTTCTGATGGAAAAGATGATGTGGAAGATGAAATCTTGAAGGTTGGTAAGGATGTTGTTGACAGCATACCTGATGGCCAGATCAAATGTATTGATCTGATAGGACATCGTGATTGTATAACATGCTTTGCTATTGGAGGTACTTATCTTGTTTGTCATATACTAGTCTACTTTCTGTTAATGCAGTTTCTCATTAATCATTATGGATATCTGTCTCTCTTATTTTATTCATGTTGAAAGGTCCTTGCACTCTGTAGAATGTTTGATTCTTTTTTTTAATTGCAGAAAATTACTTTTTTGTTCCTCCCAGTGAAAATGTGATCTGAAATTATCGATCTCTCATTTGTATGTTTCAGGGGGTTTCCTTTTCAGCTCATCCTTTGATAAAGTGGTCAATGTGTGGTCTTTGCAGGTATACCGTTCAAACTTATGAGTTGTTTGGAATTTTGGAGTAGTGTTCACACTGATATAAGTCACATATGGCCACAAATGGTGCAAATTTTAGAACTTTTAGAAATAATTACCCAAGTGAGAATAACGAGCTTTATTCCTAAAACAATATCTACTTGGTCCTTGATAAAGAAGAATAACTTGTTTTTATTCCTCTGGTAATATCTATTTAGTCATACAAGTATTAGTAGTCATATTTGGGGAAACCTATCATTTTAGTCGTAGTCATAGAGATTTCTCAACATATTTGGCAAACAAAATTTATAGGATTCAAAATGTTTACTTGAATTGAGTACTGCATGTGAATTTTCAAAGCTATACCTTTTCTTATAGTTTGAAGCCTGAGTTTTTTCTATTCCCATTTTAGTTAAAAAATTGAACATTCACTGATGGGTTTTCGCTTTACTATGTTGTATGATAATAATTTATTGTCTGGCAGGATTACTCTCATGTACATGCATTTAAAGGGCATGAGCAAAGAGTTACTGCTGTCATATTTGTGGATGATGAACAACCTATGTGCATTAGTGGTGACAATGGGGGTGCCATATGCATTTGGGTTGCCACTGTTCCACTGGGACGAGAACCAATAATTAAATTATATGAGCAAAAGGATTGGCGGTATAGTGGTATTCATGCCCTTGCTGTATCAGGAAACAACCATCTATACACCGGCAGTGGAGACAAGTCAATAAAAGCTTGGTCACTGCAGGCAGTACTCTATTATCCTTTTAATCTGCTTAAATTTAACATATGCAGAACGAGCGTGTTTGGATAGCTGAAAAGTACTGGATTATTTCAGTAGTCAATTCTAATGTTTTAATCGATCAGAGTAAGATTCGGTTTTAGTTTTGTTTGCATGGAACCAAATGTTACTTTTTACAAGGTAGATTCAGTATGAAAAATTGAAAACAACTGAAATGAAAAATAAGCTGTTGAAACATAATCATAAGCTATAAATTTCCAACTTGAAACAACTGAAAACTTAATAAGGTGATCTGTAAAAATGGAGTGTTCCCAAATGTGATTAAATAAATAAAAAACCTGAAATTTCCATTTTTAAAAACTGAAACTGTAGGTTCCTCAACAAGCTTTTACTGTGACATTTTTTTTGCTATGCTTTCTTCTAATTAATTCCCGGCCACCATCTTCAGGATTACACATTATCATGCACAATGACAGGTCATAAGTCAGTTGTTTCTTCACTGGTAATTTGCAAAGAAGTCCTTTACAGTGGAAGTTGGGATGGAACTGTGCGATTATGGTGTCTTAGTGATCACAGTCTGTTGGCAGTGCTTGGGGAAAATATGCCTTCAAACTTGAATTCGGTGCTATCTGTTGCTGCTGATGAGGATTCACTTGTTGTAGCTCACGAGAATGGCATTGTTGAGGTAAATCCAAAATGAGATGATTCTCTGGATATACTTAGACTCCATTTGGAAGCCAAAACTGGATTATTCTGCTTATCAGCAGCAGACAGAATATGCAGCTTTTGACTTGCTTATGTTGCTGAAATGGATTTTACCAATCTTCTTCATCTTTTTCCATAAAACATAGCAGATTCAACCTTAGTACCTACTACCAACAATCCTTATCAAATGGGGTCTTAGTTCAGTTTTGATCATTCTCATTTGTCTGCAATTTATTATGTTCTCCATCCCAAAAAAACAAGCTTACTTTCACGATATGTATTGCGTTTTTTTTCAAAATAAACGTTTCAAAGAAGTCAAGTATGTTAGATTTAATTTAGCAGACAAATAAAATTAAAACGTGAACCTTGGTGAAACATGGCATTTTTTGTGACAGATGTAATACTACAAGAGTTACCAAGAAAGGGAACTATTCCAGCACACGCGTGATTCTGAATTCATGCATTGTCATTTTCTGGTAAAGCTCTTACATAATAATCATCTGATTGGTCAGATCTGGTGTAATGATACGCTACTGAAATCTACACAAGCGCACAATGGCGCTGTATTCTGTGCCTGCAAGAAGGGGCGATGGATCTTCACTGGTGGGTGGGACAAGGTTGTAAATGTACAGGTAAATGCCACAAACATATCGCTAATGAATCTATCACAATTTGCAGCTACGAGGATGTAAAAGACAAGAGTAAGAAAAAATGTCACCTAATTGTGTTCATAATAAATGTAAATTTAGAATTATTGAAAATATAAAATTTATTCTGATGTAAATCTAAATATGACTATTCCGATCCCACTCCTTGAATAGATCTTACTCCCTCTGTCGCAATATTTCCCAATTTTTCTTCGCACGATTTTTAAATATGTGGAAACTGTGTGGTTGAGATGTGCTTACAGGAGAGAAACAATATCAAGTTATCAACCACAAAGTCATTTCCTTAAAAGAAAAGATGAGACAAGTTAGGGCTGCACATAAAAAGAAAGAATAACAATTTTTGGGACATATGGCTGAGGGAGTATTTGCTTTGCAATGCTTGATTTCTTGCTGTGATTTAGACTTTACACCAGGAAATGAATTGCTATTCAGTTTATTTAGTTAATGGATATTACATGATCTCTACTGACTTTCTAGGAACTATGCGGGAAAGATACTCAGATAGATGCCACTGCGTTTGGATCAATTTCTTGTGATTCTGTGGTAACTGCCCTTCTATACTGGCAAGGCAAGCTTTTCATTGGACAAGCTGATAGAGTAATCAAGGTACTATAGATCTATTTTGTGGAATAGAGAAGCTATTTTAGAGTTCAAATCTTCCATACTGCTTTCTCAGTCAAATCGGTGTGCCACTTTCAATGTTTGAGCCTGACTGTGGTGGACCCAGTCCCATTTCTGACCGGCTGGTCCTGGGTCACATAATAGGGAGAACTGGACTATTGCGGTTCTGGTCCAGGTTTAGTTCTTTAGACTATTTTTAAACACGGGATCTCAATTGGTCCAGCCCTGTTTCGGGGGAACCAATTTCTGGTTCCTGACTGGTTTCCGTGGAAAAGCAAAGCAGTTTTGGAACCGAGGCTGGGTCCACCCTTAGTTCAGACTGATGATAAGAGTCCCGGCTTTTTAGTTTTTACTGACTGTTTCCGTTTATTTCAGGTATACTACTCTACGGAGCAGTAATTTCTTGGAAGAACGTTCAAATGCAAAAAGTGTACATTATAGTGTTACAAACCAACAATACATTTCAAAACAATGTGGAAAGAAAGAACTGTATAGAGACCCCTAGTGAGAAAAGGGGAGCACATGCGTACATACATTGGAAGAGTTATTTGATTATGGCTATAAATTGCCTATAGTGACAAGAAGGTAGTTTTCATATTCAGCAATATGCCGTGCAAAATTTTTACATGAGCTTCTTTCTTCAAAATGCTTCCACATGCCAAATGACTTCAGAAATATTTTCCTGATGAAAAATGCCCTATAATATCCCTTCCCTTTTGTTGTTTCTTTCTTCAAAATATAACTGCTCATTCTCCTTAAGCTTTTGTTAGCCTTAAGGTTTTGTATCCTTTCCTTTGGTGGCTGCTAAAGTGTAGATGATTTCTATGACATTTAATATCATTCTTTTTGTTAGCCCACTTTCTGATGATGTTCAATCCCCATTTTTTCCATTTTCATGCTATTTTTTTTTCTTTTTCTCGATTCCCTTTTCAATCTTATTCTTTTTAAAAGATGGGTTTTCACAATAAGGTCGTTAAACTAATGGTGCATTTGTCATTTCATTTTTCTTCTTTTCATTTATTTGCTTTTTACAAATCAACTTTTTCCGCCTTATTAAGAGATTTTTTTCTAATGAGTGACCGACCGTAAGTGATGATGGCTCACCAACTTTTCTTCTTCTTCCCGTTGGCTTTCTGGTTACCCCTTCCCTTCTTGCCTTATCCCCTCTATTAGAAGAGTTTTTTTACAATGAACTCACCAAATTTAATGAGATAAAAAAGGAAAAAGAAAAAACTAAAACTGCCAGCAAAAGAAAACTATAAACAAAATCAGCGAGTGCATCATTAATTTCGAAAATACTATTAGAAAAAAGTTTCTTCTAATAGGACGGGAGAAGGACAAAGAATGACAACTAGAGGGAAGAAGAAAAATCGAGTCAACTATTCATTCTAGCAATTGCATGCTTCATGTATCGATTCATATTAGCCGACTCCAAAATCTTTTGAAATTAAGGATTGAATGTTGTTGTTACTATTGTTGTTTCAATCAGTAAAAGTTAATTATTATTAAAAGCTAAAAGAAGTATCTTTTCATTTCTTTGTACCAAACATACACTAATCTAAAGGCGTTCAATCAAAATAATGGTGCAATTAATAATTCAATACTCATATATTGAAAATTATAATCTCCGTCTCGAAATGAAGTTTTTCATTTCCTTCTTTATCTATCCCAAAAGGTTTTCATTTCCTTACATGGCAAATAATAATTAATACAATGTCTAGAAAATCCTTCCCATTTACCCCCTATTAACTCAATCCTTCCCATTTGTCCTAGTCGGGTAAGTATACCCATCCCTTCTCCACTTTGACACCGCACTTGCCTTCTCTCTTTAAGGTTGTTCTCCTTCTTCTTCTCCGTATGCATGTATTCCTTGACATATTCCCTGCTTTTGCAGATAAAGTGATCTTGTTTCTGTCTCATCTTCAAATTCAGACTTGAATCGGTCATTCGGTCCCCCCTTTCATCTTACACCCAAATCCTTCAAACCCGAGCCCCCCAACTTGGAGAAGGATTATTTGGTCTCATAATCCAAACATTCTCTCGTGACAGGCAATGACGATGATGAAGAATCTGATCTAGTTTGGTGGCTTTGAAAGATGTATGGGTCCCAGACTCCCAGTGTGCATGACTCAGTGTAGGGCTCTGTCATATTTCATATGCCTCATTGCCTTCATTTGTTTGTGTTGCAGCCTGCAGGTACCCCGGAGTAGCAGCTGCAGTGGCATTTGGGGAAGGTGTAGCAGGTTGATTTGGTAGAGAGAGAGCCAAAGTCGTATTCATGGGATGGGAAATGATTTAGTTGAGATAAATGTAGGCGTTTAAGTGAAAATTTGGGGGAACTTTAAATTTTCGTGCTTTAGTGCATTGTAATTAGTAAGAATCCTACAAAAAAATTTGGAGGGAATTTATACTTGTAATTGTATGACTGGACGAGCACTATAGAATCATCACTTCAATTGTCATTTGTGTAGTTTTTACTCTTTTAGTAGTCTATTTATACTTCTATGCTATGTTGCACGGAAACGCGAAAATCAAACGAGAAACGTCAACTTTTGCTCAAAAATGCTTATTTTGAGAGTTTCCAGAAAGTTTCCGAAATAGAAACACACTCTTTCTCGAGAGTTTCCGATTTTCCGTGCTACATAGCTTCTATGTTTGAGCCCATTTCCCTTGCTTTTCTTATTTGTGTAAGCATGTGATTAGGGCACTTTGGGCTCCAAGTACTTGAAGCACATTCTCACTAGCTATCGGTCATCTTGTGATTAAACTTTAGTCTAAATTCATCAGTTAAGTGTATGATTGATGTTGGAAGGTCCTTAAGGAAGGATGTGTGTGTCATCATTTTTTATTACTATGGTACTTTGGGAAACTCAACATCACATTCACTGTTACATAGTTATGTGAATGTCAAATAGAACGTCTTTTTGACGAGGGGAAAGTATTATGTTGTTCTCATTACTTGAATTGGTTTTAGTCCTAGATTAAATTTAAACAAATCAGTCAAGCCCTTATTTTAAATCAATTCAGACTAGACCACTTTAGAGTGGATCAAACTTAAACAGATCAGATCATACGAAAATAAAATATAAACCATGTCAAATTAAAAACAATAAAAGTTCCCGAAATATGAGTAAACAAGTTTTGGAATTCCAAAATGGACTTGTTTTTCTTTGCAAAATAGGAAGTGCATTTAATGCTGAAGATTTGGTGGTTGGGACACCAGCGAACCACAGGCTTCCACGTCAGCACAGCCACCTGCCCATTGGCGGGTATAAATAGAAGCATTTATTTCATTGTAAAGGGTTGGCAACTTTCTATTCTTAGCACTCTAGCTATAGCATTCTGACTTGCAGCACTTCTACTGCCTTGTAAGACGAACGGCCGACGGAGCCTTAGCGAAAAGTATTGTATTAGGGAGTTATTAAGAGATAATAATACCTAATCAATTACTTGCTACTTCTTGTTCTCTTTAATCCATACCATCTGCTTGTTGGGCTAGTTTACTCACACACACTCCAATCGAAATCCTTGGGCTTACGTGTTGGACCCGAGGGTTGAAGGAATAAACCTCAACACTAGTAAAAACATATTATCATCATTCATTATAGCTACATTATTACTGGAAATGAATGTATAAATGAATTTATAAACAAAACAAAACTAAACTAAACTAAACATAACACAAACATTATTTCTCTAGCACAAGAAAACCAAAGACTATTAATGATATTAGGATTAGTTAGAATTAATGCTAAACAATTGACAAATAAATTTTATATTTTAATTAGTTCGGTTTGTTCGGTTCGGTTCGTGTTTGAAGGGTAAAAATCAAAACCGAACCAAACAACTACGGTTCGGTTCGGTTGTTTACATTCGGTTTCGGTTTATTAGCGGTTCGGTTTTATCTGACTACGGTTCGGTATAATTTGATCCGGTTTTCGGTTTTTCGGACCCAGCCCTATCAAAAACATCCCTCAACAATCAAAGCTTGCTTAACTCAAACCCCTGCGCCCCGCTCCCGCCCTGCAGCATTCTCAATTCAGTCCATATAAATTCGCAAAATACAAAAAGTATAGGTAGCCTTTTCAGCCTGTTGCAAGTTCAAAGGAATTGTATTGTTCTTCCGAGAACACAGCTGGCCGGCAGAACCAATGGGAACGCCAGCCGCCGCCGCAACCGCCACCACCACATATGCTCTGATACATAAACAACTCCGGCACCACGACCGCCGGAGCCACACTTCTCACCATACAACTCTACTCTTCACTGAGCGCATCGATTTCCCTCTACTCGCTTTTCGGCCGGTCTCTCATTGCCAACACGTTAGACGCCGTCGTTCCATTCCCTCACACTTACCTGTGGCAGCTTCCCTGAAGGTCCACTCCCTTGTAAACTCAGAAATATTCCTGCTGAAAACGAATTCTGATTCTTGCTCATTTTACAGGAGAACATTAACGGGTTGAAAAAAACGTTGACTAATTTCACGTCTTTGAACCACTGGATCGTGAGAGACTATGATAGGCTCGTCAGTTTAGTTAATGCTTTTGAACCCCAAATTCAGGAACTTTCCGATGAACAGGTAGACAATAGATAATATCCATGCCTGTTTTTTCCTATATATGATGAACGTTTTGCTATTCGAAATTAAATTTGGCGTTGGTTTAGCTGAGCGCAAAAACAGTGGAGTTTCGCAAACGATTGAGAGAAGGAGAGTCCTTGTCCCATATTCAAGCAGGTAGTATTTGATATTTTTATTTTAATTATTGATAATTTCATATTATAATTTGTTATTATAACTAATACTCCAGTAGTCCCGCTTAAACTTCTCACTTGCCTCTTTTGGACGTTCCAACTAAAGCTTTCCATTTGTATTTGAGGAAACAATTAACACTCTTTAAATTGACAAATTAATCATCAAATTTTTAAAAATAATAGACATATGACATCACAATGGTCATCAATGACATCATTATGTCACATTCTCATCAAAATTATTTCTCAAAATGTATGTGAGTTACCTTATCTAATTATTGTGAAATAAATGTGTCATTTTTCAACAAGAAGCTTAAGCCGGGACGGATTTAGTAAATTTTTTGATCTAAATTTTGGCTTCGTATTATGTTTTTTTCCTGTTCATAAACAATGTCTGCTAGAGGCATTTGCTGTTGTTCGTGAAGCTGCAAAAAGAAAGCTGGGAATGCGCCACTTTGATGTCCAGGTCTCTCTTTTAGAACATAATAATAATAATCACACATGCTTAATTTACTTACTAAATTATTGATAGACCGTAGTGCTTAGTTTACTTTTGTTCTCCAATAATGTACTAGGAGGTAAACTATACATTGGGGGGAAATTCCATTGAAATATTTTGGTAAGAGATTTTTTAATTGGAATTTGGTTGAAACTTATCTAAAAAAGAGTTTTTTCTAACAAACAGGAACACCACTGATAAAAAGAAACTAAAGCAGCAATTTCTTGTACAGTTTTACAACAAAGTTTATCAGTTTTCAATTCATATACGCTAGACAGGATTGACAAGAAGCATAGGAGAGTTTTGAGAAATAGTGCTAATAAGACAACACTTCAAGCTTGGGGATCGCACAGTACCTGAGAGTGGGTTGGAGGGAGGCCTGGGAGGGTACTATGCGTTGCTCATATCAGGATTGGGAAATGAAAAATTCAGATTGTTTTTAGGGGAAGATGTGATATTGTGCACTTGCTGCATGTGTGGTTTTCATCTTTTGGTTTGTTAGACATCCACAAATAGGAGAACTTTTATGTTCCAATCCATGTCCATATGTAATGCATGTTTACATTCTTTTATGTAAGTTGGTAGTAAATTATTGATGCTTTATCATATTTCATGTGCTTCCATGGATAAATTTAAATTGGTTTTTGTTTAGCCTTTTGTATGGAATTTCAATGGTATTTTCTATTTTTTACAAGGCTTGATTTTTGTTCAAAATTTTATATATAATTATTATTTCTTAATTTCAAATGTAGATTATTGGTGGAGCTGTGCTTCATGATGGAGCTATTGCAGAGATGAAAACTGGTGAAGGGAAGACATTAGTGTCCACATTAGCAGCATATCTCAATGCCTTGACTGGAGAGGGTGTTCATGGTCATTCTTTATCCCTTACTTCATATGCATAATGCTTTGACAATCATTCATGATTTGATTTGTCCTCCGGGGGGAGGGGGTTTGAATGGATTTCAAAAAATCATCTCAGCTTGGTCCTCGGTGATTATATTGTTTTGGGTTTATTACCCCGTGGTCAAGAAGCCCCCATTCTTAATTACCACCTAGCACACCAACTTTCTTTTTTTACTGAGGGAACTTTAGTATCATTGGGAGATATATTGTGCTTCTTGGGCCTCACCAACTTTTTGTTTTAATTCCTCTTTGACAGTTGTCACAGTTAATGATTACCTAGCACAACGTGATGCTGAATGGATGGGACGGGTTCATCGTTTCCTTGGTCTTTCTGTCGGCCTTATTCGTGTAATCTTTTTTGCTCTAGACTCCAGAGACACTTCATTTGGTCTCAAACAAAATTTGGGGAACTGCTTTTTTTTTAGAAAGGGTTGCTTTATGGCGTTGTGTGTATTGTGGCCGTTTAACATTAAAAATTAAATAACATATATCAATTAGTATGTGTCAATATATTTCTTTTCTATGCTTTTGTTGAGAATAGTTAATCTGTTAATCCATGTAGAGTTTAAATCTACAAGACCCATATTGAATGTCAATCTGCGAGTACCTTTAACTAAAATCAACTATTTTTTTCTAATAAATTTTAAATGATGTGCTCCTTACCTGTCTTATGTATAGAAAGGGATGTCAGCTCAAGAGAGGAGATTGAATTATGGATGTGATGTAACATATACTAACAATTCAGTAAGTGGTATTAAGTTTCATATTTCATACCTCCAAATATACATTCTTTCACATCTTATTTCTGGCATGCAATTTAAACTTTTCTTAGCTTGTTTTGATACATCATAACTAATAATCATTTCAGTGAATTGACGTTGTAACTAACTAGTCTATTTTGTCATTCCCTTTTTTCTCTGTCATTTCCCAGGAACTGGGTTTTGATTATTTACGAGATAACCTTGCTAATAACCGTGAACAACTTGTGATGAAATGGTAAACTATACTGCAACCAATATCTGAAAATTATAGTTCATTGTTAAAGTTTACCTTGTGAAAACAGGCCAAAACCTTTCCATTTTGCAATAGTAGATGAAGTTGACTCAGTCCTCATAGATGAAGGAAGGAATCCTTTATTAATAAGTGGCGAGGTAATTTTGACTCTTTTATTTTAAACTACTGTCAAGTACCCTGATGAAAAAGGGGAAATCTAATACAGACTGTCTGATTTGTTTTATTTTTAAAATTTTTTGCACACTTTTCTGATTTTCTAAATTCATGTCCTGTATATCTCAGGCAAGCAAAGATGCTGCACGATATCCTGTTGCTGCTAG